CTTAGCATTATGGGTAAGATTTATGTCTAACTGTAAACTACAACCTGTAAATAGAAAAGGTGGAAATCTTAAACCCGAAGAGATAATTTGTGCTGAAAATTTGCTGTTTCGAAAAATACAACATGGTTTTAACATTGATGATAAATCTCTTATTGGAATTCAACAATTTAAAGATCCAAATGAAATACTTAGAGCCAAAGGAAGACTTGACAGTGCTGAAAATTTGCCTTATGATATACGCCACCAAGTGTTATTACCTAAAAATCATTTTGGTACGACGTATGTTAGAATCTATGCATCGAAAACTAGGCCATCCAGGTTACAAAAGACTAGTAGATGAATCTCGCCAAAAGGATTGGATTTTATCTGTTAGAGCCCTTGCCAGATCTATATATTTTTCCTGTTTAATATGTAAACGAAGACGCCAACCATTATCTGGTCAACAAATGGGATTGTTGCCAAATTATCGCGTGGACTTTAATACACTTGCGTTTAGTAATACATCAGTTGATCTGTTTGGTCATTTAAAATTAATTTTGGTAGAAAAACTGTTGATATGGATGTATTTTGCTTGCTTGACGGTCCGAGCTATACATGTTGAGTTAGTAATGGGAGAATCTACTGATCATTTTTTAATGGCATTAAGACGATTTTCTGCAATTAGAGGCTGGCCAAAGTTTATTTTTTCTGATAATGGAACCAACTTTGTAGGGTCTCAGTTATACTTGCGAGAAATGATTCAAAGTTGGAATATAAGTTTAATTAAAAGTGTGTGTTTAAACAAGGGAACGTTATTTGAATGGAAGTTCAATTGTCCCACAGCTAGTCATATGAATGGTGCTGTTGAATCGTTAATTAAAGTTATGTATATTATAAGATCCACATTTACCAAGAGCTTTATGGAAATTAGCATTAGTTCAGGAAATTTACCCAGGTCAAGATTGTCATGTTGGAAAAGTTAAAATTAAAACAGCTACAGGTGAATATGATAGACCTATTCATAAATTATGTTTGATAGCAACCAAAGCAGAACTTAGTGCTACTCAAATCAATCCCTGATTTTCCGTTGCCAGGGGGGCTGTTTTGGTTATTCTTAGTTAAAATTATTAATTAAGATTTTATTTTATTACGCATTTGTTGATTACGTTTTGTAACAAATAATATATTGTGTACGGTATATTCACTTTGCGCATGTGCAATGTAAAACGTGTTTTGAGCCAAAACAAGCCAAATATTTTGCTGCCGAAAATTACACAAATTTTGAAATAAAAGTCACAGCCAGGATTGAATTATGTTTTTACTATAGTCATTGTATGAACAATTCTTATATTATTAAATATTTCCTAAAGTGAAACTTATTTTATCACCAAATATTAATATTATTAAGCCGCCAGTAAGCCCAACCAAACCACCAACTAACCGCATCTTTACAAAACGCCAAAAAGATGATGAGTCCTCACCAATACAATAATAATGCGACCTTGATTCGCTTCAATTGTCACCTATAGTAGGCTACATCAGGTCATCAATTTACCTCTAAATATTTTTAGGGATACTAATTTGTTTAGTTGTCGTAGAGTACATCTCAACTAAAAACATAAACATATTTTATCTGATGGACTGTCAATATGAACATACACTTTTACAATCTATAAAGTATAATAAATGCATTATTCGTTTTATTGAAAAATTATATTAAAAATTTATATACACATCATGTGTACATATCTCTGGATAATTCTTAAATTTTCAGACAATATTTTCAGACTATAGTTACATCATCGTTTTAATATGCAATGGTTTGAGACTGGCATCATGTACTAACAATACAAACACATAACATCGAATGGACACAATATAATCTATATAAGAATCATTTAATAAGTAAATAAGTCAAAACTTAGTAATCTACCATGAACTTGTCCAAGATCTTATGAATATTGTGTGACATGCTAATTATCGCTTGTCATTTCTAGAAACGATTTAACTACAGATTTGAAGGTGTCTGCTATGATCAATCCTACGAGCCCCCAAGACTAAGGGTACAAATAGCGGGCTTAATGGGGCTTAATGGAAGAGTGGGGGTGGGGAGTGCTTCAACTGTCGAGGCTGAAATCAAAATGCGTCTTGTCGCAAGCCTCCAGTGGATCGCCTGAGAGAGTTCTCCCAAAAACATATGAAAATGTAGAGCAGAATTTTTGAGAACAAAGCAACCCTTCCCAACGACCATGTTTATTTGCATATCGTGAAGTTGGTACGTCGAATACCGACCAATCCTTAAAAAATTCATTTGAAAAGGGCTGACTATCAGTTTACAGTGATAAGACAGTGATTGAAATCGTAATGGGAACTTGAGTCGTTTCTTTTTTTTCAATAATCTATTGAGTAGTTCATAAGACTGTTTAGGCCTGTACGCGTTGGTCTTGAGCAATTGAGATGTGTCCTTCATTAATTTTAATTAATACCCTAATAGTATATATAGTCGATGGATAAAATATACCTTTGTTTTTATCTAAATTTAACTTTAGTCAGTGTCATAAACGGCAAATTTCTTCAACTAAACAATTCAATATTGCTATTGAGTTCAAAATAGTTCTTCGGTAAAAGATTACGAAGTTCCACAGTACCAACTTCATGTCTGAGGACGGTGATTCTATCAAGAAATTATCAGAAAGTTTAATATTGATATATTTGTGGAATTATGTATTCTGTCGAAAAAACGGTGACTTCGTGGGAATTTTGTCAAAAAAATGGATTTTGAGAACAACAGGATTACTGGGTGTTATCATAGTACACTTAAGCCGATGTAATCAGGTTATAGCCAATTAACAATATTCTTCAACTAATTCATTTATTTACAACATTTACTATTTCAGTTTTACTAAGTATGATACAGAATCTGCAAACTCGTATACATTCAGTACGTTATTTCTATACTGTTCTATATTATTTCTAAGTCTTGATTCAAGTGTCTTGTATTTTCGGGTTTTTTTTGGGAGGTTGCTGCTGACCGGCCGCATACTGCACCCAGGCCCGTAGCCTGACCATTACTCCTGGCAAACGTACAATCGAGGGGGGCAATTTAGCAAAGCACCTTGACAGACGATTAAACGTCGGGAAACGGACTTTCATGGAGTATTTTAGATTCGAGATTATTTTTGTTAAAACACACAAGTTATATTACGTTACATTTTTATTGCCGTTTTAGTTTAAACGTAGTCGGGTATGTTTTATGGCAAAATGTTGAACAAATACGTCCAAGTTAATTTTCTGGGTCTTCCTGTTGAAGGCAAGAAGAACAAGATTGCGTTGGCGAAGCTGAGTCATAGATCGTCGTTGTGGTGAGTCAACACGAGTAAGAGTTGAAAAGCTGCTTTCACACACAGCGGTACTAGAACCGAATGTGGCAACGCTTGCAGCCAGTGCATATAATTTAGGGAAAGCCAATTTCTGCTCGTATAGTTTTTGAAGAACAAGATTGGAGTCCTGCTTTTCTGTCTTGGCAACGTTGTCTTGGAGAAATTGTTTTGACACCTCAATTGTTATGCTTCTCGAGGCCCTTTCCAGTATCACCTACAGCATGCTTCCAATCTATGTAGCCTTCAGTGATGAATTTTTATGCACCCGCAGATGTATTGTGAAACACCCGACATGGAAATCAAAAAGGGGCGTCCCTTGACACTGAATACTCCAGCCATGGAAATCGATCATACCAGCTGTTACTAAAATGGCGCCCAGACTTCACTGGAAATTTTATTCTCGGTTGCTACGTCTTCTTTTCCAATGTCACCTGGTAGTCCTGTCTTTTCAGAGCATCTGGTACTGCATCCGTTGTGTTGCCCGCTGTGGTTTTGATACCAGTGTCAGTCGTAGTAGTGTCGGAACCATCAAGCAATTTGTCTATTTTGATCAAATATTTATCCATTTTTCCTACGTTTGGTTGTTTGATTCATATGAATACAATTTAGGATAATATATGTCTATTAGTTAGTATTTATAATCAACCAATCAAATCTTTTGAATTTTGAGTCGGGACGGATTACAATCCAGTATCAGACCAATTTTTTTTTTACCAATGACGCTTAACTGCAGACTTTTTATGATTTTCAACGAACTCAATTGTATTAAATTATCTATTCTAATGTAATTAAATTTAAAAAGCTATGATGTCTGGTATCATCCTCAGCTAAGAATAAACAGAAAGATATTTAAAAACAGTTCTAGGCCTACAGATAGGAATACTTAGTATTTTGTTGAACCATTTCGCATAACGCAGCCCTGAAAGCCATAACCTTACTTTTCGTTACGTATAATCAAAATATAGCAGCTGATTTGGGGGGTAAAGCCCCCCCCCCCCCCCCCCCCCCCAAGCTCCCCCCTTGGCTACGGGCCTGACTGCACCATCCTTATTTCCATGGCATCTTGCTCTTCTTTCAAGAAATTAATGATTTCGAATATGTTAGGGTGGGCTTTTCCTACAACTTTCTTTACACGGCTATGCCAGCCTTTTAAGTTGTTGTTACTTCTTGGGGTGTCCGAACCATAATGGTTCCATTCATATAATCCATAAACGCCCTCCAACAATTGACTGGTAACGTAGTCTGTAAGTTCTACTAATCTGGGGTCGTCTGGCATATCACCCAAGGCATTGATAAAAACATCCCCCACCATATCGTATGGAACCATTGGTAATACCAAAGATGCCAAACAATGAGTGACACTGATAATTAGTCATTTTAATATTGAATAGTGAACGATTGTCATGAATTTATGTCACCGTTAATGAGCTGTTAACACCTTTAATCCCGTAGCGGCATAACTGTAAATCATCAAAGAAAATAAAACGGTGACTTCGTGGGAATTTGTAATTTTCTAGCAGTGACTTTCTCGGAAGACACCGACATTTGTACACCATTCGCCATTTACTATTTAAAAATATTTTTTCGACAGAATTAAATGTTATATATTTCCATTTTTTCTAATTGATTTTCAGATCAAGTATGACTTTGCGAAGATATGTTGTATTTGTCTATTTGATAACAATTACATTATCTGCTCAAATTGATGGTAAGAGAGACACGTTCTATTTTTTTATATAGGAAGTCTTGTCCCCTTAATGATCGCACTTAATATAATAATATATCATGGCCCAACGAGGAATGACGTGTTTCCCTACAAAAAAATACCAAGTGTTAACGATCCGAACCGCAAATGAAACTCGAATCCCTAAAACAACATTGGTAAAGCATTGGTAGCAGCTAACTTTGTTCTCCTACGACCTCATACCAATTGTCTATTTACAGGTATACTATGCTGTTGACACGTGTTTCGAACATAAAATCCTCATCAAGACAACTTAGTTTGGAAAAGAGGTTGTTATTGGGCCTAGAGTTGACTTACAGATCTGACTTGACTATGGTCACAGCAATGATTTACCTTCCATATATAATCATTTCTATCAAGAATTTCCATTATTATTACTATTATTATTTCAGATAACAGTACATGGGTTGATCAAAATGGGTTGGTAAGAGTTAAAGTAGATAGAACTGAAGGTAAAATATGTTCTGTGAGCTGGGACGATGAAGACGCCAAGGTGTTATGTCGTGGACTTGGTAAAACCAACAGTAAATCGTATATAAAATACGATCAATCAGCACCAACATTAATTGCGGATGTAAAATGTGTTGGTACTGAATTAAGATTAGAAGATTGTCACTATTCTGTTTTGGGTGGAAATGTGACTTGTTCACCAACCTATTCATCATGGAACTCTGCTGGAGCATATTGTTATAACAGTAATGATGGTAAGATATAAGACCTTTTTGTGATTTTGTGATAATATATCTGGTGTGTGCGGTTTACCATCTTAAAACTTATCCATAAGGGACATTCAGTAACGACATTGAATAACGAAACACAATTTTGTGGTATACTACTCTTAAGTTTCATTGTACAAAACATTTCAACAATTTACAGGAGTAGTATATCTGAAGAATGCGTTCCGTTACTTAACATAACAAATGTATAAATCACGTTCTTATAATGAATGATTGAGTCACGCAGGTCATTGCTTAATGTATTTGCGCCTTTACCAATATACATGTATACAAATTGTTCATGGTAGCTTTTCAGCCATTTTTCATGGTCTTATTTTCATCTTTTTACGTTGCTGTTGCAGAGGTAACCTACTCCACAGAACATGTAAGATACGGTCGAGTTCTAGCTACAAGAAATGGTTATGAAAGATATCTCTGTAAAAATGGAGATTTCTCATATCACCATGCTAATGTAGTTTGTTGGAATATGGGTTATAAAGCTGGAGAAATCTTTGAAATGGAGCATCTTTCTATGTCGCAGAACCCGTCCTGGTGGAAAAATTCGTTTGAATGCCAGGGAAAGGAACCACTTTTAGGTGCTTGTATTAGATCAACCTGGGAAGACATAACGCCACCATATTTTGATCAGAATGTGTGTATCTATCACACTCCGTCAGTTTTATGTCACGGATCAGGTAGGTTTAGAATAGTATCCTGTAGAATTAAGAATAACAATTGGTACAAATTGGCACAAAACACCTTACATAACGCGATTTCCTGGCCATTATTACTTATTTTTTTGCATAATGCAAATATGATGTTGAAATAAATGTTTTACTCTGTTCTTTATACACATGTAATATTCATCTAACATTCTTTCAACAGCAAAGATTATGTTTCGGAACATTTGAACTCGAAGCTAAAAACGTTTCATTTCTATATTGACTGGATGCCAACACACTTGACAGCATTATTTTGAAAATGCACAGCACAATTCATAAGCTTAATTAAACAAATTTCAACGAAGGAATAATAATGAAGGTACATCATGATTACATTGTAGACTGAATGTAACACTCTGGTAGGAATTTCTTATTTGATATGCATTTTCGTTCTTTTTCAGCCAGACTACACACTGAACTGTTCAACAGCAGTGGAGTTGTTGGTTTATATCACGATGATGCTTACAGAGCTATTTGCTCGGATGATTTTGATTCCAAAGCTGTTGCTGTGGTTTGTAATAGTTTAGGATTTGCTGGTGGATTTAAAGCACCCTCTAATAGTTACAGTAGCTACAATTATTATACACGGATTGCAAATCTAACTTGTTCTGGAACAGAGAAATCTCTGGATCAGTGTTCGTATGATTATTCGACGTCACCATCTTGTAATTCGGGACCAGCTACGGTGGCATGTATAGATCCAAACGATCCAGACTCTGTGTGTAAGTATATTTATTTGTCATCTACACGTTTCAAAAAACAGATTTCGGAATCAACAGGTAATAGATGAGAAATAAAGTCTATAAGATGCAATTTTGTGACCAACAACGCTGTTATATTTATCTTATGCTGGTGGTGCATTTTGACAAGCGAATATCCTTTCAATCTGAATCTATTGCAGTACCCGATGGATCAACGAAAATTGTAAACCAAAAAGTATTGATAAAGTTACATGATATATGGGGTACTATATGCTATGACAATTGGGATGACGTTGATGCTAAGACAGTCTGTAAACAACATGGTTTTGATGATGGTCAATCCCTACAGTTAAGCAGGGACTCTAGGCTGCCAAGATGGTATAAAAATGTTACTTGTCAGGACGGTACAGATCAAACACTTGAAACTTGTGAGAAGTCTACTAACACCGACTATTGCTATTATACATTTGATGCTGGAGCCTATTGCTTTAATGACACCGACAGTAAGTTCACTATTTCATCAGAAAAACTGGAATAAACAACCACGAATCTAAATAAATCTTTGTAATCCACAATTCAAAGTACAAAAGCCAAGAACAATTAAGGAGGTAGACATTAATTCGTCCAAAAATCATCATGGTGAAAATAAAAGTCAAAACCAAGTGTCTACAGAAAGAGTAAGCACTCAATATTCAGTGTCCTGCAACATCGCCTTTGACGTTCGAAATTATTAAAGCAAAGAAAAACTGGTATAATCCTTAATGACATCTTCATAATCGTCAAGGTTTTACGAACTTCATCTTACAAGTTCGTAATACCCGGGCCATTGTAAAGTCAGCGAAGGATCTTATCCTTCATCGAGCCGACCAATTCATTATGAAATATTTTTTTTCCAGAGGTCACATTTTCATTCACCGATAGTAACACTACAAACTATGGTAGATTGCAGATAACTCGAGAAAATAAAACACATCATCTCTGTGATAAGTCTGGTTATTTTAATTATCAAGAGATGAAGTTTGTTTGTAAAGAAATGGGATTTATTACCGGACAAGAGTATGTTGATCTGAAATCACGAGTTTATAGTGATTATTGGTCTAATAATTTAAACTGCAAGAACAGCGTACCAACTCTTGACGCATGTACATCTGACTCTTGGAAAGAAGAAACCACGAATTCCAATGAATGTCAATACAATGTTCCTTCTATATTTTGTTATGGAAATGGTAAGATTAAGTTATGTATTTTCATTTTTCCAATTCTGGGGTCTATAGAAATATGCAACATATACGTGTCTATGATTATTTACAACAAGGGTTCCCTCTTCCATCCCGATCCACACCGCCACCCTTTCTACTCTTGATTTTCTCTTAGCTTTTCCCTAAAATCTTTTTCATGTCGGAGAATATAGCCTGAATAGAACATTATTAATTATAATGGTCCAAAAATGTTATGCTATGCATTACTCCCCAAAACTTCAGGTTAAAAACCCTTGATTAAGAACATTAGATTATGTCATTTTTTCAGTACGACTTCATACAGACTTCTTTAATGCTACTGGTTTTTTAAAAGTTTATAAAGACAATAGATATCAAATGGTTTGTCAGAATAATTTTGGATCGAAACAGTTGAATGTAGTGTGCAACGAATTGGGATTTCATCATGGTGGCAGATTAATTCCCTCGGAGGCTTACCGTGGTTTTTATGGTAACATACCAAATGGTTATACTTGTGGTGGGAATGAGAAATCTATTATAGACTGTACTAGCTTTGATGCCTCACCATGTGAACAGCCTGCTACTGTTGCTTGTTTTGAATCTTTAGAAGAAAAACTTGCTGGTAAGGTTTATTGATTATGTCCTTTACCTTAGAAATTCCAATTCAGATCTGTGTTGTTAACGGGGTACGAAATACTATTAAAAGAGTAAGAGCAAACATAGACCTATAAAGACAGACAATTTCATAGCTGGAAAATATTTTAACGATGTTTATTGTGAAATCATTGGTAATTCTAGGCACTGGTTCAGTAAAGATGTCTATTGATGACATTGTATTGATGATGGTAGATGGTGTTTGGGGAACAATTTGTGCTGATGGTTTTGATGACAACACTGCTACTGTAATGTGTAAGCAACAAGGATATGAACATGGAATATCCATCATAAAGAGTGAACGATATGCCAAACCAATGTTAACTGAGTCTGTGAACTGTATAGGATCTGAAACTAGGCTAAACGACTGTCAAATTGATCTTGTAACAGATAATGGTACCCAGTGCTCTAACGACAAACGTGCTGGTGTTAAGTGTTATAACAGTGCTGACAGTAAGTACAATATTTCATAGTTTCAAGTTTCATGTTTATGTTTCTTATATTTCTGGATAATTCAATGTACTGACAGCAATTTAAAAATCCCCCAAGAAGAGAAAGAAACAAATACCCTATATTTTACAAGGATAACAATATTTGTTCACAAAAGAACCTTTCTACCTGCTGGTTCTTTGTATTGATCTTTCATGGATCATCCTTACCCATTTACAGCTGGATCGACTTTGATTATGAGTAAAAATGACTCATTAAACGAGGATCCGGATTAGAGCCACAAATCACAATTTGTTCGACGTGCTACTTGCCCAGTAATAATCTCCGTATAAGATCTGTCTTTTAAAATGATATTTAGTACGTGTAAGTTCTAGAGTTTGGGTGGTATTGTATGTTACCTCTACTTGTATTATATACGGTACCTTTCTGTTTCAGTCAATCAGTACAGTCTTGTCGATGGTGATGGATATCGGTATGGGAGACTAATGGTAACACATAACAACAAGACAGGCTATGTATGCTCTAGAGACAGTTACTTTGATAATGACGATGCTCATGTACTTTGTAAACAACTTGGATTTACTACGGGAGAGAGATACAATATGCCAAGTTTTCAGAACCCATTTGGTACCAGATTTTGGTCCAATAATCTAGACTGTTCATCTAATGAACCAAATGTTGATACATGTATGAAGGGTGTTTGGATGAAGATAATTCATGATGGGATGGATACATGTCCTTATCATGTACCTTCAGTTTTCTGCTATGGACAAGGTATTACTATTTCTACATAAAACAAAAAATTATATTGCAATCGTTCTTGCGTCTTCTCACTCAAGTTCGCCCTGTAGATTTGAATGTTTACAAATTCAGGTGTAAAATTGAGAAGTTGACACGCAGATAACAATTTTATTTATAGATAGTGCTTTTTTTGTAGTGCCTATTGGTGGTCAATGAAATGGTATCGGATACAAAATTTATATATTTCACTAGTGAAAAATAAAACTAATGAGTTAATGTTATATTATAAATTTTCAGTCAGATTGCATACCAAGTTTTTAAATACATCAGGAGCTGTATTAATCCGTCATAATGATAGGTGGGTGTCGGTATGTAGTGATGCATTTGATGATAATGCTGCTCGAGTTGTATGTGGTGAATTAGGGTTCATAAGAGATGAAGGCAAGACGTTAAGTACCAACTCATTTTATGACTCCATTGTACCAATGAATTGGTCACCTTACATTCTGAGTCTGAACTGCACTGGAAATGAGAATTATGTATCAGATTGTAATTCTACATATAATGGAACCTATGGAATATGCGATGCTTATAACTATGCTGTTGTGTCTTGTAAACCTTATACAACTACAACTTCCATACCAACAACACAATCATACCTACAAACTACATATAACAGTCTTCTACCAATCGGTGAGCTTCATTAATTTTCATATATTTCTTTCAGCGTTTCACATGGATTTTCATACTTTCCAAAGATTTTCGGCTTTATTACCATATAAATCTCATATCTTAAATTTTGTAAAATGCAAAATTTTTCATGTGGTTTAACAAATCTGATTAGCATATGAAAAATAATATATGAATATGTATGAAAATAACTTGTCGCATAGAAAAAAGTTAATAAGCTTTTTGAAAATCCTCCATTATTCATCCTAACAGGAAACTTACGTAATTTGGGAGCGCATGTAATCGAAGGTTAGAATACAATTCAATCAATTCGCTGCTTTTACAAACTTCCTTGAAGCATGAAATGACAGATAATAGGTACAGTTCGTAATAGCTTGGCATTGTGGAGATGTCCTATGGGAAGTAAGCCGGTTTTACTATTCTGTTAGTGTATTTGATAATAATTTCAGCGTCCACTAATCAAACCCGTTGGTTATCAGATAAAAGAGTATCTGTGTATGTAAATGGAATGTGGAGTGGTATTTGTCACTCAGGATTTGATGATATAGATGCTAGTGTATTTTGTAAAGAGTTCGGATTTAATAAGGGAATTGCTCTACAAAAGTATGTCCCAGACCATCAGCCTAGGTACAGATACAACATACAGTGCTCCGGTACAGAATTCAGTATCTTGGACTGTCCATATGATACTTATGATGGCGATAATGGCACATGCCATTACTACTCCGATGCTTCCGCATTCTGCTTCAATAATAATACTTGTAAGCTAAATTTCTTTTTATCTTCTGCGTTGCTATAGCGTAGGGAAATTGTCTCAGAGCGTATAAGCTGTATAAGCGTGTTGGAAAAAACCCTATAACTTTCAAAGTATGCAAGCGATCATCGCCCAACATTGTCGCCACTATTCCGCATGTTAAAACACTCGCCGATATTCGGTGATCTGTTCTGCAACGCATTGAAAGCGACATAGGATCGTCAGACAAGCGTTGCAACATCTCCTTGAACGGTATAAAAGCGCAGTATTAAATCGACTGTTTTTAACTTTGTAATCTTGAGGGAATTTTTTTTTTCAGTTTTCCGCACTTTTGACCATGATTAGTACATTTTATGTCGCTAATGGCGTCGCTAATGGCGCAGTCCGTTGTGATGGGGCTATTTTTCAGGATAGTGATTCGAATAGTTTGCTTTCCTTTCAGTAATCGAAATGCGACTTGTGGGTGGACAAGAGCCAAACAGTGGTAGAGTTGAAGTGAGGAGAGCAAATAAATGGGGTTGGTTTTGCGACGAAGGATTTTATTCTTCCAAAGTTAGCATTATCTGTAATCAGTTAGGTTACAAATCTGGTGATATGTATTCTATTGATGTCAATGAAACCAATCCGTTCATGTGGAGAACGAATCTTCATTGTCACGGCAGTGAACCATTTATTGATGCTTGTGACAATCAACATTGGAGTTATGAAAATTTCTACAGTAGTTGGTGCCAATCAAATCCTCCAACTGTATTCTGCTATGGTGATGGTAAGATACATACATCTTTTATAGTGTTTACAGTTAGATTAATGATCAGGTCGAGCAAGTTGTGAATTAAATTGGCTCAAGTGCCTTGTTGTGCTGTAGCTCTCATAAAGATATCAGTTTTTACCAGTACCAATACTGATATCTCTCTGATAGTACAGATGAATCACACTTCTCTACAAAAACATTACATAAATTATTGATCACTATCTACCAATCGAAGGATTCTGTGAATTTGGTTAGCGTTGGTTTGCTAATTATCGTAAAAGTCTCCTTGGTTCTCCTGGGGTATAATTTTGGAATTATTTCACAAGCTCATCGTGATAGCTTACAATTTACTGTTACTAATCGTCATTGTAATCCAAGTTTTGTACGATATCTGCATTATTTCAAGGCATGTTTTTTTTTTATTTCAGTTAAATTGCATACTGGTCTTTATAATAAAACAGGGGTTCTAAAAGTGTATATGGACGAAAATTATTATTCATTATGCGCAGATGACTTCTCAATTCAAAACGCCGAGGTTGTGTGTAGACAGTTAGGATTCTCAACTAATGCTGTTCGTATCCTTCCCTCGTCAAGTTTTCAACAACAAGGTATGACGTCAGGGATGAAGTATTCCTGTAGTGGTACTGAATCTAACTTAGCTGATTGTCCTTCTAGTAATGATACGTGTAGCAGTGACAGAAACCAAGTTGTTTTGTCTTGTTCCGATGGCGCATCCCAAGGTAGGCGGCACATTTTGACAGTATTCATTATGTGATTTCGATGAGTGTAGAGATATGCGTTTTATAGCAATTCCTTCGTTATGCAACCATGAGGCCTGTAGCCAGACTTGATTGTTCGGATGAGTACATGATATATCAGGAGGGGCAATGCAATGGTGTATGATGTTTAGTTACAATAATGGAATTGGTCAGTACCTAAGGGCCTGTATACAACTAGTGTCCATGATCCATATTTACTAACGTTATTTTATGTAGGCCCCTATCTTGTAATGAAGATGAACGCCGGTTTGTTATGTATCAATGGACAACGTTTTAACGTTTGAAAGAGTAACATCTTCTAAAAACATACCAGGATGTAGGTTAATGATTTATCAGTGAACTACGCCTCAGTTCATGTCAGTGCATTTGAAAGAGTAAGAATATAGTCCTTGATAATATCAATGTCCCCAGAATTGTTCCACATCCTTATAGTGTAATCATTTATGATTGGTGTTTTATGATGATTTTTAAAAAAACGTTTCAATTTTGTAGGCTCTGACGGGGATATACAGATAGATTCCAATGGTTACGTAACCATATTATATTATGGTATTTGGGGTAAAATATGTGGTTTGGCATGGGACAATAATGCAGCCAAAGTGGCATGTAAACAGATGGGTTATGAAACAGGCATGGCGCATAAGAAATATATACACCAGAGTGATAAACCGTTATGGGTAGATACAGTAGATTGTAATGGTAGTGAAAAAGCTATTAAAGACTGTCAAATAACAACTGAATTAAACTCGACTTGTTCTAACGCAGCTGCAGCTTACGCCTATTGCTACAATTCTTCAACTGGTAATAAAGATATATTTTTATTTCCTAAAATCATAAGACGTATTAAGTCTATTTGTATAAGTTATTCGTTATAACATTCTTTAATGATTCATGCCTGGAATAAGACATAAAAATATAAAGTCGTTGTTATCAATACCTTTGAGATATTTTAACATTCAATATTGAGGCATACAATTTATTTCTTTATTTTGTTCTTTCAGAGCCCACCTATTCGATCATCGGAAGTAATGTAACTAGCTCTAATAGTGGGTACGTAGAAACAGTTCGTGAAGGTGAACGAGGTTATGTCTGTGAATCTGATGGATATCACAATTATGAAGCGGATACAGTTTGTAGAAGTCTTGGTTATGTTGAAGGAGAAAAATATCCTATGGGTCAACTGCCATTTACAGCTGCATTTTGGAAAAATTCATTTTTTTGTAGTAATAAAGAACCGCTATTACATCTATGTGCCACTAGTCAGTGGTCTTATCTGACACATACTAACGATTCTTATGATAGAGAGTGGTGTAGACGCTTCCCGTTGTCTGTCTTCTGCTACAATAAAGGTACGTAATGGGGTAGCTTTTTAATGGAGTGACATGTGGGCTACATACGCCCGTCCATGAGAATTAAGAATCATCATCTCAAAGTCAATGTCAATAAAGCAATGTTGTTGTTCATAGAATTCTTGTGTTTTACGTTGGCGTTATAAGGGGATGAAATCCGTCTCTCCTTTTGGTACACATATTTATGAATTTTTGTTAATAGTTTATTGTTTATAAAGTTTTACTCTGATTTTAGATTGATATAAATGTACAAATAGGTGAATTGGCAACTACATACTTCTACTTTAAGACAATACTATGCTAATATACTTAATTGTATACTTTACACGTCTTTTAATATTTCTTTACTTCATTTCAGTTCGACTACATTCAATGTACAGAAACAGCAGTGGTCTTGTTCTACAGAATAAAGATAATAGAAAATACCGTTATTGTGCTGATAATGTTGATTTAAATACTGCTTCCATACTTTGTCGCCAAATTGGCTTTGACCATGCCAGAGTTATACTTCCAGGCTATGCCTATGATCACTTAGATTATTACACGATGGGGTACCATAACCTTAGCTGTCCATCTGGAGCTGTAAAACTAGATGAATGCACAGTTGATTTTGATGTAAATGGTACATGTGATAGTGGTGCTTTAGCCTTGGGCTGTAATGGTGGTAACTCAATGCCTGGTAAGAATCGTGTCATTGAAGAAAATGTCACCCAGACTTTAGATCTGGTTGACCGAATCCTTCGAAGAAATCTATTGGAAAAATTATTTCCAAACACCTTTGTAGATTATAATCCACGAACAGAAAGTGAAACTAAATGACAAAAACGCACGAACTGGCATGTGTTACATGTAATCTTTGTTGACGAGGGAATAAACCGTTTTAGGCTTCAGTGAAGAGAAATCACTTATCCTGATAGCCACTAACTACAAATAATCATCTCTCCTGCTAGCCACTAACTACAAATAACAATCTCTCCTGAAAGCCACCAACTACAAATAATCATCTATCCTACTAGCCACTAACTACAAATAATCATCTATCCTGATAGCCACCAACTACAAATAATCAACTCTCCTGGTAGCCACTCACTACAAATAACCATCTCTCCTGATAGCCACTAACTACAAATAATCATCTCTCCTGATGGCCGCTAACAACAAATAATCATCTCTCCTGATAGCCACTAACTACAAATAATCATCTAGCCTGCTAGCCACTAACTACAAATAATCATCTCTCCTGATGGCCGCTAACAACAAATAAGCATCTATCCTGATAGCCACTAACTACATATAGTCATCTCTCTTGGTAGCCACTTACTACAAGTAATCATCTCTCCCGATAGCCACTAACTACATATAATCATCTATCCTGCTAGCCACTAACTACAAATAATCATCTCTCCTGGTAGCCACTAACTACAAATAATCATCTCTCCTGATAGCCACTAACTACATATAATCATCTATCCTGCTAGCCAATAACTACATATAATCATCTATTCTGATAGCCACTAACTACAAATAACCATCTCTCCTGATAGCCACTAACTACAAATAACCATCTCTCCTGATAGCCACTAACTACATATAATCATCTATCCTGATAGCCACTTACTACAAATAACCATCTCTCCTGATAGATACTAACTACAAATAATCATCTATCCTGCTAGCCACTAACTACAAATAATCATCTATCCTGATAGCCATTAACTACAAATAATCATCTATCATGAAAACCACTAACTACACGTAATCTATCTATCCTGCTAGCTACTTACTACAAAAAATCACCTATTCTATGTCAGTAGTCACTAACAACAAATATCATATATATGGACGCTTTAAATTTTTTTCAGATGGTGTGACACGGATATTGAAGGATGGTACAGTAGAAGTTAGTAAACATGGGGTTTGGGGAACCATCAGTTCATTAAATTGGGATGATGTTGATGCTAAAGTTGTGTGTAAAGAAAATGGTTTTGAGAGTGGTGTGTCTCTTGTACGATTTTCTCGTGAAAGGCCACGGTGAGTGTTTTGCCCTCCTATAACACACATTATGCAACTAGAAAAAGTTGTTGTTATCTTGATTATGATATCTTGTAATATTTAATAATTCAATTATTTCTTTGAAATTCAAATTATTCTTTATACCCTTTTTTGATTTTATTTCAGTTCAACGGCAAAATCTGTAGCCAATTTTTAGCATTTAATCTGGCATATTCTCTTCTACCAAAGAACAGCGACTTTTAACAACACAATTTTTTTGTAAAAAAACTTGTGGGTTGGAAATAAAGGATGTAAAATTGAATTTTTTTTGTCTCAGATTTTGAAATATCTTAAATATATTTCTCTACTATATGTTAAAGGTGGATGTATGATGTGAATTGTACAGGGACAGAATCTAAGTTAGTCAGTTGTTCCTATGAAAATATAGGCTATACTGAAACTGGAATTTATACAGCCAATGCTGCAGTGTTTTGTTACGCTCCGTCGGAAGGTAGGACAGCATAACCTAGTCTTGATCTAAAACTAAAGTAATCTCAGTCCTTAATATAGAAAAAAGGAAAAAAAGAAACAATATTTTATAAGATTTTCTCTGTCTATCTGTCGAAGAGACATGGTCCCTATGCACAAGTTCCGACAGAGAGTTTTGATGGATTGTCATCTGGGAGATGCTGAGGTGGTTTCTTGGAAGGGTGCACATCCTTCTACTTCTAGCTTCCTCCCTCTCTCTGATTGATTCGAATAATGAGGAATTGTGACTTTATCAGACTCTACCAGAAGTTGTTCGCCAAAGAAGCAGACTTTCAATGGGGACATCTGGTGTTAATTACTCTTTTGTCAACCTTTTCAGTGGGTACATATGAACTAGAGAATGGTAACTATGGTAGATTGTTATTGACCAGAGAAGGAAAGACAGGCTATGTTTGCGATCCAGACTATGTAGCTAGATCAGACTTGATAACTGCTTGTAAAACACTTGGTTATGAAAGTGGCGATGTATATCCATCTCCAGCACTTCCTTATGGTAAGAAATAAAAATTTAACAAAAAAAAACAACACCAAATGGAAAACGTGATACGTCTTTACTGTTATTGGGTGTTAAAAAGATACTTAATAGAAAATGTAGCTAAACTTGATTTGATCAAAAAGTTGGTTTGGTTCTAACGAAGAGGAATTTCTGATACCTTTGACTCATTGGTTGACTCAAGTTTGTAGAAGCTTTATATCTTATTTCATTTAAGGTCATTTGTTTTGGATGGCTGATTTTTCCTGTGAATCAGATTCACCTATCTTAGAATCTTGTATGAAGTCAGGGTGGACTAATAAAACTGATGCCTGGAGCTGTAGAGATCATAACACTTTTAGTGTATATTGTTATGGAAGAGGTAAGTAATATCAAAATATAAATGATTCCTGTGATGAATATTGAGCATTTTCACAATGTCAAGCTATTACGAACTTCCTCTAACACCTTGACTACAATAGCAACGAATACAGCCAAGTCCCCAACAGAAAGACTGTGGCCTATTAAATAAGACTTTCTGATTGGCTGTAATCACTAGCGTACAATCCAGCCAAATCACTGCATTTACTTATGTGATACATGAACACAGATGGTAATAACTTGACCATTGTTAAGATAGATTTTCATTATCCCAGTGGAGGTTCTAGGTTTAATCTTTTTAAAACATGTCTGTCTTTGTTTTTCTTATCAAATTATATTATTGTGATGATCTTGGCATAATAACTGTTACAACACTTTTTCTAACCTACTCAATTGCTGATTGTCCGAAAAAATAGGACGTCAAATTAATTGAAATCTGCAGAGATTTTAAAAAGATGGTTTTTTTTTCCAGTTCGATTACATGTGGCCTATAGAAATAATACAGGAATACTTCTGATTACTAACAAGCAAGAAAAATATTCCATTTGTTCTGAGGGCTTTGATATGGTATCAGCAAATGTCTCCTGTAAAGAAATGGGATTTGTTGGAGTGAGAAGGATCCTTCCTTCTTATATCTTCACCAATTATCATACAACCAAATATTCCAATTTCCAATGCAATGGAAATGAGGCTTCCTTAATGGACTGTCCACACGAAGAACATGGTTGTAACGGCAGTTTTGTAGTTGTTGAATGTGATGACAGTGGCCTACCTCCTTTTAGTAATTACACTGCGGCAACCCCAAATTACAACAATTACAACTATACTCCACCTTACAATAACTGGAATAACACGAATGGATATACTCCTTCATACAACAACTCGGATAGCACCACAGACAATAATTATGGTAAGAGTTATTTGATTGTATATACTCCAGTTTATCATGGCAATGTTATAATTTAATTTTTATTTGATTAAATGTATTTATTAACTTAAGTGGCCTGTATAGCTCATGGAGCATGGAATATCGAAATTGGTATCAGTATATCACGTTTAGGATTGGCTGTGGAATTATTTTCTCTACCGTAGCACCTTTTACCATCTTTTTGATAATTGTGTCTTAGATTAACTAGCTCTTAGCTTTGGCAGTGATAGTCGATAGATTTGAGCTCCCAACAACAGATTAATTTAAAGCAAATCAAATACAAATGCCTGATTACTTGAAATTACTAGCTCTCATATATATACATTTGTATTACTTCAGTGAGCGATAGAAACTCTTCAAACTCGAACAGCTCTGTGCCACCTGGTGGCATGACTAGTGGAAACAATACCGACGGTGGCGTAACAGGTTCATCGAACTCTAATGGAAACAATACTGAAAGTGGTGTAACAAATCCACCCAGCACTACAGGAAACAATGCTGTCGTTACAGATCCAACAGGCTCGAGTGGAAGCAATACTACCATTAACTCTGATGGAGATACAGCTAACCCGAATTCGCCAAAACCAGCTGTTCCAACAAAAACTAGCGGAAACAGTGGAGATACTGGTAGCAACCCTTCTAATCCGTCCGACTCTAATGATGACTCGAACGCTGGTAAAAAATCATCAGCAGCTTTCATATCGAGTATGTATTTGTGTTTACATTTATTACCAGTGTTTATGTTCGTGATTTGGGTAGTTGGGTAGCAGCAAATGGTAGCAACAGCAATTATTAAGGCGTCGTAAGGCAACCAATAATGATTTTGATGATAGTATAGATTAGTCTTATCTTTAATTCGAAAATGAATCCTAATGAAGCCAATTGTTCGGATTTAGAATATGGTATATGATAGGCTACATCTGCATACGAACTTTTGCTAATCATATTTTCAAATTTGCAATTCATTATAACTTTGTTATGTTTTTCTTTTCAGTTGTAAGAAGTTGTATACTGTTAACTATTGTGGTGGCTATAATAGGACATTTCTAAACAGAATTTATCGGAATCAAAATATATATTAATACGTGCCTTTAAAATAGCTATTTACCAAATATCACCCGGTGTTTCAATAATTACTTTACCCAAGTTCGAGTTTATATCTAAATAAAGATGCACAGTTTTTAAGAATTTTTTGTGATTTTTCAATATTTAAGATCTATTATATTAAGATTATTAATACATGTACTGTGATACGCAAATTTTTTTGCTGTTTTTTCATATAATTTTAGATATTGTATTTTTTCTACGAGTATAAACTTGTTACCACTTCATAGCCATAGCAAAAAATAAACATTTACCAGATGTCTGTAGTTTTTTATTCTCTTACTGTTGTTTTTTCCAATGGCACACTCTTCGGTCTTGAACTTATATCTTACCTATTATTGTTTAAGTAATGTCATTGGTTTAGTAATGATGTGGGTAAAATAAGTTTACCAACCGATTCAGCATTAATCATTTTTTAGCCAGTATGAATAACACTGGAATGGATTATAGTAACATGCCTGTCTATGTTATTTCTAGCATATTTGGGCCCCAGAGGCATTACGCAGAACTTTATGTACCCTTGTTCGTTTGACCAAACTGCTTGTGACTGCTGCTACAATATTACCATCATCCACAGTTTTAATCATATCAAGGGAGGTAACTTGTACATTTTAACGTTTAACAAATACGTCAAAATAGATAATAGACATTAACCATTCTGTAATTCTATTTGAAAGACATATAGAGGTATTGGAATTTTATTTATAACACATAGATAAATGGATGAATTAACTAATTCAGAAGTTAATAAACCCTACTCTTTAAGTGTCCAGAAACGTCGGGTATTTAGCGTTACAGTAACATTTTACATATTGTGTTGGTACCTTGTGAACTGAAATTGTTTTCAGGACCTTGAGGTATCTTAATTACCCTTTCTGTTGCTAACTACTTGTTAAGTGTTTACAAATCTATGAATACACAGAAACGTAATTGTTCAACACTTTCATGAGGTCTGTATTTTTCATTATTTATTAACTGCTGAAAATCAAAATCGCTGCAAATGAAGTGAATATTAACCATAAGACCTACATTTAACAGGTTGGGTAATAAGAAGCGTAGGTTTATAAATGGTATTATAACCGATTAAATTATGTATGTGTGATGCAATATAGCCTTATTAAATTAAAGATTATGTATCGCACAGTCGCAGCTCTATGCAAGCAAGTCTATGGTCGATAACCCATATTTCGTGGATTTTGTAATGATTTATTTTTAACTTTCTACAAAATTACGACACGTCGTATTAACACAGAAAGAGGTAACTGTCAAATTGTATAACACGTGCATTTGTTTATTTATTACTAGTCTCTAGTCTATTGGTGGAAATCAAAATCTTTTATTGGCTGCTATAATTAGAAATTACGTCTTTATACGAAACTGTCACTCTAAAACATTTTTTGACATTGAACTGAATAAACAAATATCATTTTTATTCAAAATATTGAAGAATCATATTCTTTGTGCTCGTCGTATTTTTTTTGCAAATAAACCGTTATTTTTAAAAATATTTCCAAATTAATATTATACGAAACTAATGCTGTCAGCTTTCAAAAAGGAAATAGGTCATGTTATCGTTTTATTTATTTCGAGAGAAGAAATAAGAATGTTAGCTAATTGATTCAAAAAGATCCTGGCAAACGGTAAAGTATCTTAAGCTTACAAATGCATTTGACTTGATTTGAAATATTAAGCTTGGATATTAAAATTTGACAAACTGTTATTATTATAAGAAGTTTAAACGGCGCAAAAAGTGTCACTTTCCTTGACTTCTCTGCACGACTGTGGCAGTCTGACAGCTCGGTCATTCGACCTGACTAGCCTATTATATGCCTAGTCCTTACCTTACTCGGTTTTGTTGACATTGCTTGTGTAGCATTTTTCAGTCCTTTTCAGGACACAATATTTGCCAAAGGCCTTTCAGCAATGTTTTTGTTTTAATTTTGGTACATGAATGTTATCAGTTGGTCAGTTGTTTATTTTACTGCAGGCATTATTAATAGATCTTAATCTAAAGTTATTTATTTGTTGTATTCTACTGTTGAGTCATAATCTATATTCTAAATAGGCAATAATTGTATAACATAGATATAAACATGTAACTTACTATGATATTGATCAGTATTATGTAAATCATTAAATACAGAAGTTCTGTTGGATGTAAGTGTTTGATTTTGTTATGAATTAATTAAGTCTTAAAATTGATTTATTCATTAGCTGGTATGCCTACAAATGTTTTATCAGTATTTTGTATACTTTGCGTTTCGGATAGTTAGTGTGTAATTTAATTATTGTGATGTAGTCTAAAAAGGTATTTAGTTGTTAGATTATTTTCTTTTTTTAACATCTAGCATTAGGTGATGGTATTCTAATGCTTTTTGCTCAAATTTGTGGAGAGGATAGATTGTGTTAGTAGTAGGCCTATACTAGTATTATCTGTGTAGGCCTATCTTACAAATAGAAATTTTGATTTATAAAGCTACGTTTTGTGGAATAGTATGGTAGGTCAGTATATTTAGGTTTGTGTGGGAAAGTTGTCCCTGAGTTTTCACAGTCATTCACTAGGACTAATTAAGTTAATTAAATGAGTAGATATTAATAGGGATTAATTTAATCTGTCTATATATAGCTGTATGGGTTATTTACTTCTTTTAGTACTTAGTACTATTCATCTGAATATTGGAAAGTAAATTTAAGATATGAACTTTTGTCAATTCAGTCATGTGTATATATATATATATATATATATAAATTTTGTATAAAAATGAAAGTAGAAACCTGGAATGTAATTTAGTTTGTTTGCAAAAAATGAACATTGCACGCTGCTATAGCTTACCAGTAGATTAATTGATTTAAATTGAATTTTCTTCAAGCTCTGTGATATACAAATTCACCTGAAAGTTGATCTGTGCAAATGATAGAAATAGAATTAAAATCAAACTTGATATGTTCTGATATATTCTCCCAATTGGGCATCAAAGGCAAAGCAAGTATTAATTGATAGTTTTTTTTTCTAAAGTGACCATGTTACTCATTTCAACTGTTCTGTTTTGTAACTGACTGTAAACACTATTTAACAAAGTTTAAAATCTTTTCTTCTATTATAAACTTACAGTATGTTTTGTATTATTAAGGAGAAATGAGTGATAAGTCAAGTGATACTGAAGATTGGACTTTTGTTGATAAAGATGGAGAGTTAGAGGTCAGTATGCCTGTATAGAACATTTTATTCACTCACATAGAGATGTATAGGTCCATTTCCCAATGTCTAATTAAAACACAGATCTAAATGTTAAACTTAACTTGGTTCTATGTGGACATAAATGCTCTTAAAATCCACACATTTACAGATTTAAATAGAACTTGGTAAGTGATACACAACACATAAACACAAAAACCCCATAAATTAGAAGAATAAGTACATTGACCCTGAAATATGTTGTATTCCCACATAAATATATCTTCTTAAAATAATTTTGATCAATAGAGAATATCATAAGCTTACTAAAATAAGTTCAACTTTGTTTTTGTAGTTAACTGATGAAGGTAGCAGTGCTAGTTCTATTGAAGTGGTCAATGTTGAGAATGATGTTGTAACATATCAGAATCGTAGATCTTTAGAAAGATCAATTTCTCCTACACTCCAAAATAGGTGTACTGTGGAGAAAGGTAGGAGAACAGGAATTTAGTATCATTATATTATTATAGCACTGATGTTTATATCAGAATACTGGTAGAAACCTAACATTTAAATATAATTATTTTTTACTTGACATTTGATATGAAGTAATGGAAGATAATTATATGGTTCCTCCAAAGGAAGCTATTGACTATTCTCTTATGTAAATTTTGGGATGGTGTTGGAAAGGAAATGGGCAATGTTAACATAATGACATTCTGTTTGCGCTATTTACATGGATTGGCTGTAATTATTTCAGAAAATGGAAAATGCTCTGAAGAATGTCAGGCAGCTGAAAGTAACCAGTGTTTTACCAGTCTTGAAAATCAGGAAGACATTGTAACTAAAGGTTCTTTAGACAGTAACAGTGATGCAGATATTGGTGATCATGAAAAAGTTGACTGCTCAAAACAGAAGTTGTCTCCCATGAACAGTTTTGCAGGTGATCAACCACAAATACAAAGGTGAGGAATATATAATCTTTCACTTGGTTTTGGTTAAAACCAAGGACACTTAATTCAAATTTTAATGATGCATAATTGGTCTGATACACAAAGAAAGATTAAGTAAAAGTAAAACTTATAGTCCTGTGAACTAATTCTGCTATTCTGAAACATGTGTTTATATTGTAGAGAGATGTCTGTATCTAGTGATACTAGCAATGTACCTAGTATACAGTCTATTCCATCTGATCTTTCTGATAATAGTAGTGATGCAGGTAATGAATACAAATTTTTATATTATGCCATATATGTTATCTGTGTTAATTTGTGTATCTTGACTTTGTGAAATTAGAGGCACATCTTAAATGAAGCAACTTTTTTATACGCCCACACGTAAGATGGGCGTATATTGTAATCACCCCATCGGTCCGTCCGTTGGTCCGTCCGTTCACATTTGGCTCGTGCTCACTCTACAGGCTACAGTTCTTTATGGATTCTTTTGATTTTTATTTTCTATGTCAATGTTGTTATGAAGATGATTCCTATTGATAATTTTTCACCGAAATATCGTGTCTGACTTGACGTTTTTCTCTATTAGCTATATTGTGCAACTCGTGCTCACTCTACAGGCTACAATTTTTATACGCCCACTCGAAAGATGGGCGTATATTGTAATCACCCTGTCAGTCCGTCGGTCCGTCCGTCCGTTCACATTTGGCTTGTGCTCACTCTACGGGCTACAATTCTATACGGATTCTTTTGATTTTTATTTTGTGTGTCAATATCATTATGAAGATGATCCCTATCGATTTTCGTGATGATCGGATAATTTTTCACCGAAATATCGTGTCTGACTTGACGTTTTACTCTATTAGCTATATTGTGCAACTCGTGCTCACTCTACAGGCTACGGTCCTTACGGATTCTTTTGATTTTTATTTTGTGTGCCAATGTTATTATGAAGATGATCCCTATTGATTTTCGTGATGATCGGATAATTTTTCACGGAAATATCCTGTCTGACTTGACGTTTACTCTATTAGCTATATTGTGCAATTCGTGCTCACTCTACAAGCTACACTTTTTTACAGATTCTTTTGATTTTCTGTGTCAATGTCATTATGAAGATGATCCCTATCGATTTTTGTGATGATCGGATAATTTTTCACCAAAATATCCTGTCTGACTTGAAATGTTACTCTATTAGCTATATTGTGCAACTTGTACTTATCTACAAGCTACAATTCTTTACATTCTTAGATTCTTTTGATTTTGTGTGTCAATGTCATTATGAAGATGGTAAATATAAAGCTATCTGTGGGCGTATGTTACCTTGCCTGGCAAGCTATATTTTTATCTTATTGCCACCACACCTGCCTGTTCATCCATCACCATATTGTGTTGTTGTTGTAAAAGCTCCAGTTTTGTGTATGGGTGCATGTATCTATCTGTAATAAGCAAATTCAGTTGTTCTTTTTGTTTCATTTCAGATTCTGATTACATTCGATTAGAATCAGAGAGTTTAGATGGTGATAATCTTCTTATGACATCTTCTTCAGTTAGTTCTAATTTTAACTTCATCAGTAGAGAAAACTCAGCCTCAACTGAGGATAGTGCTGGAGATAAAATAGCTGTGGCAAAAGGAAGCAATGAAGAACTTGAAGAAAGCAGCAACTTAAGCTCTGATAAAAGCATCCACCAAGAGCCTTCTAAAAGCATCAACCAGGAGCCTTATGAAAGCTTCAACCAGGAAGCTGATAAAGGCATCAACCATGAACCTGGTCTAAATGGCAACCAGGAATTTGAGGATGACAACCAGAACCCAGCAGTATCCAATAATCAGTTGCTGGAAGCTGACAACCAGAATCTTGCAGATATTGACGATAGGTTGTATAATGGAATTCAAAATTTGGTGGTTGACAACCAAGTGCTGGAAGCTGACAACCAGAATCCTGTAGAAATGGATGATGGGTTGGGTGTTGATGTCCAGCATCAGTTGGTTGACAATCAAGAGTTGGAAGATAACAATAACCTTGAAAATGAAGATTTATCTGATATGGAACATCATGATCAATCAGCAGAAGTGGAAGAAGATCAAGACAGGAACACTGATTCTGGTACTGAGGATGATAGAATTGAGAGTGATCAGAGTGATACTGGATCTATTCCACCTTTAGATGATGACATGTCTTTCGTTAATGACATTGGTGATTTACCATTAGTAGCTGGTGATGTACCACGCCAATATGTTCATAATCCTAACCGTGATTTAAACCTTATATTAGATGTAATTGCTATACTAATGTTTGCTGTTGTGCTTGGACTTGGTATTGGTCATGCAATTGGTATGTTACTATTCATCAGTTTTCAACCAAATTTTGGAAGAAAAACATTTTGGGTTCCGTTTCCTGTTTCAATAAACCTTTTGTTATGGATTATCTGTACCCATTTTTTTGGAATGAAAAATAAAGATGTATTATTTAAGGTCATAAGACTTTCTCACACCTGGTCTTGTCAAACATTTCCATAAATGTATCAAATGATCTAAGCTTGCAGTTACCATTAAGATGGACTTGCATCTTTTTCATACCTAGGTCACAAAGGTCTGATTATCATTTTACTTGAAACATTCAGATTTTTACCACGTTGTGTATCGTATGTTCTTATTTTATTTCTATTTTCAGCAACATTTGATGAAATAGAAGAATATGAAACACTACATTCTAATATTGTCAGTTTAAGATCTCAAGCCCTTACTTGCCAGAATCAAAAATGGAGTCAAAAGCTCACCATCAATGATTTAAGAGTAGTGAGTATTTTATGTGAAGTTTTAATCTTGAAATTGTCTAATATGAGTATGTATCACCAGTTCTTTCTGGTCCAGTCTGATACAGTTTTGGATCACTAGTTTGTGAAAAATTTGACATAGCTTAAGATACAAAAACTTATGCCAAATTTGTCTTTTGTAATGGTGAAAATTCTCTAAAACCAATGATTAAGAACGGAATAGGAATGTAATCCCATAAAGAGTGACATGTCTGAAGAACTATTAATGCCAGATTTTTAGAGGTATATTATACATTGTTATGTGATATTTTTTGTTTTCAGGATCAGCAGAGTTTAAACATGAAATATGAAGAAAGTAAAGCTGAACAGGAGAAATTAAGAATTAAAAATGCATTGCTAATAATGGAATTAGAGGCATTTAGGAAACTTGAGACCAGCGCTGATAGTGATAATGTCATAAGACTTAAACTTCAGAATGAAATTAACCAATTAAAAATTGAGAAAGAGGAACTAAAACAAATGATTGGTCGATTAAAATACACAACTCATCCAGCCAATAAGAATATAGGCAACACTGATAATGCAAAATTTAACAATGAACTTTGTGATAAATCTGCTAGTGACACAAAAGCAGCTTTGAAATATCATGGAAAAAGACTTTCTGATTATTCTTTAGATGACCTGCAAGAGATTCACAATTCTGAAAGCCTGGACAATTCTCTGTTAAAACAAGAAGTTGGTAGACTTCGCTATACCAGTCACCCAAGTAACCATGTAACTGAAATGGAATCTTCTGAGGACAAAGTTACTATAGAAACAGAGCATCAAAATATCACACAAGGTATAGTAATACTGTGTACATTGTGATATGGTCTTCTCATTTTGAAAGATGTTTGCACACATAATGCATGGAACAATTAAGAGGGAAGTAACTCTCATGTTCCTCAAAGTTCGAAAGAAGGAAAGGAGGGGGATTATTATCTGATGAAACAAATGGCTTGTGTCAATACATGTTAGTAGGAGGTAACTAATACCATATTAAATTGCCTGAATCTTATATTTTCAGATTTTAAATGCGAGAATGTGACTGCTCTGAAAGAAGAATTAGATCATGCTCAACGTTATGCAGAAATCTGGTACCAGAAGTACAATGATTTGAAAGAACAGAACCATCTTAATTCAACCCATTGCTTGAAATATATTATCTCAAATCTCAATTTTACTCAATTTTTTTCTAGTGTTAATACAACAATACTAAAAACATGGTTGGTTAGTTCTGCTGCTGTAGCTGAAGATGTCAAGAATGTGGTTGCGGAGATGATAAATGATTCAAAGACAGTTCTTCAAACGATTACTGATGAATTTCAGATGGATGATCTTGATTATGATACTGATGTTACTGATGATGTTACTGATGATGTTACAGATGTTACTGATGATGTTACAGATATCACTAATGATGTTACAGATTTTGCTCATGATTTTACAGAATTTGCTGATGTTATAGATCTTGGTGATGATGATATAGATGTTACAGATGATGACGATACAGACCAGGGTGTAGACATCAATGGGTCAAGAAATGAAGCTGACGAAGAAATTGATAGCGACTCATCAAATGATACAAATGAAAATACCAATAATCATGCCAAATGGTCTGATAACGTGAAGGACATCTTGAACAAGACTCGTCACAAAATGTCTAACGTCAGTCAACAGATTAAAGATACGTGGCTTCAAGTTAAAAATCTTTCTCATCAATTTTGGGCTCAGCACGAAGGAAAAGTCACCAAAACTCTAACCAAATTCACTAACAAAGTTGTCAATATTGGAAAGAGACTTCAAGATAAACTTCAACGAAAAGTTTCCAGATGGTATAAGAAAGATAAAGGAAAGCAGCAAAAAAATAAAGAGTCTTCAGAGGGAAAAGCAAGAAGAGACAAAGGCCATGATAGAAAAAGGATTAAGAAATCAAAAAGCAATGCAAAGCATCTTAAACATCAAGCAAAACAAGAACGAAAATTCCAGAAACGAGCTGTAATCAAGGAGAAAAAGAAGCAAAAATCAGAGAAAAAACTTAAAAAAACCATTAGTAAATTTCTATATAAAATGTCCAATAAAATGAACTATGATGTATTTAAAAAGTTAGATGAGAAAGCCAGACAATCAGTGTTGAATAGAATATACCATATTCAACATTTTGCAACTGAATTAGGCTTCTACTCAGATAAACATCAATCTAACAGCAACATTAACAACTATTTAGATTTACTGAACTGTCAAGATCAATGGTGGTCAAGTGTAGTTGTAAAAGATTTGCCAACAGACTCTCAAATTCTCCACTGTTCTCAGTTTCTACCAGATTGGCAGATGAAAAAGCTTTTGATAAGACGAAGAACAATGCTCATTGAAGGAAAGCTGGAAATGTCTAATGAAATGACAGTAAAGAAAATAGGCGAAATACAGAAGAAATTCGGTATTTATGACGGAAATGAAAAAGGGCACCAGGTTAAAGAAGGAACACATTCAGATGACACATATGTTCGATCCAGAAAAACAACAGATGATTCAGGTGTCTGGCAATTTCAAAGAGCACAAGATCGTGAAGAGGTACGTAAAAGAGAGTCTGGTCCAGATTGGTTGTTTGAGCGAGCAAATCGGCGTAAAGAATCAAGAGAAGAAGAAAGTGAACCTGATTGGTTGTTTGAAAGAGCCAAACACCGAAAGGATTTAAGATATAAAGAATGGGAAGAGCCAGAATGGACATTTAAGAGAGCTAAACATAGAGAAGAGGTCCGCGAAGAAAAACATCAACCAGATTGGATATTTGACAGAGCTCATGAACGTGAAAAAATCCGGGATCAAAGTTCAAGATCACCAAGACGCCAGCGTCATGTAGCTCACATGGTGGATTGTCTTTAAGGTTGACTGAAAGTGAGAAAACCGTAGAATGTGTCGGCCTTGTCAAATGTAGAACTATATCTCTGCCTTCACTTCAATAATATAGAGCTATTATTGTTCTCTTACTTCTCTAACCTTCAAGTACGTTTTAAAAAATACTCTTTGTAAACATCGGATTGTCTATATCACAAATACAACCGTTACGTATGCAGATATTCAGTGTCAAATTAAGTCTTTTATTCTTGATTATAGTTAAATGTGTCTTTAGGTGTCTTCGCTTCGGATCATAGTAGACTTGGCGGTAGGAAATTATTATGCATGCCTAGATGGCAACTTATAAGTAAACACCCTTTTATCATTGAAACCACCCTGACAATTCCTTAGATCTATACACTTCTACTGTGGTGACTCTCTGTGATTAATGGTATAAATAATAATACTTGACTTGACAGATGTATATTCGCTGTATATAGAAATTTGCTATTAGAAGACTTTCTTCATTGTAATTCTTAGAAATATGTTAAATTACTAACTATGTTTGATTTTGAGCAATTTGTTTAAGCTTTGGGTGAAATAATCCTCGATGTCGACACAAATTATTTATAAATGGGCATTTATTACTTTCAATTTTTCATCTTCCGTATCTATAAAGTTATTTTATTCCGCATTTCATGTTTGTCGGAACTTTCATAGTTTCTAATTGCATTATTCAAATATGTCGTCTGAAATTTGTGGTTTCTGTCATTCCCCTCACAATGGATCCGTTTATGTCACCACTGGGGCAAAAAGTACTTAGCGCTAGTGATATTTCCGGTAGGTAGCCAGAAACTTCAGTTGTTATCAGGTTTGAGAGTGGTACAAAGAGATGGTGTCGTCGAGACATATATGGAAGAGGAAGTCTCTTAAAACCCTTTAAACACAGAGTGAATGAGGAATAACTGTACACATATTTTTCAAAACAGTGTTCCTAATTTTGATACAACTTTTCTTCACGCCTTATTTATGACTTTTTCTTTATTATTGTTCATCGTTTAATAGGATGCTTTTTTAGGGACCAGGTGTAGGATGTTATATATCAAAGTCATTGAAGGATTTTTCAGTATTAATTTGTTTGGCTAGATTTAGTTTCACTTTTATTTTCATTTTTTTTATATAATATTATGGTTGTTGTGTTTTGAACATATTTATAATATAATGTGATAGTGATACTTAGTATAAAATATAAATTATAGTAATTAATTGTTTTTAAACTGTGAAGTTATTGCTTCTTTTGGGTTGAGATATTTCTCAGAAAGAGATCCTAACCACAGGAGATCATTTTCGAAGGTGTATTGGTCAGAACTAGTTCGGAAAAGCGAAGTTTGGTACAAAACCGAAAAGATAAACGTTTTGACTGGGATTTTGGCGCACCATAATCGACAGAAATGCGCTCTCCGGTCTTCTAGTTTAAAAAAAATATCTTTGGGAAGAGCCCCCAGACGCCAACTCATGGTTTCGCGGCGACGGGCTACGACCTTGAAAGAAAGTCAGACCACAGCACCAATTCACTCCTGGCGACAGGGCTGGCTATGTTTTGTGCTGCATATTTGTTTAGTGGCCCTCGCACCAGATGCCAATTGTTTTGACTGTTGCAATTTGGGTTGTACAGGATATATCTTAAGTAAGACTCGACATTGCATTGCTTTCGATCATAAGTATGCAAACATCCAAATCCTAACTAGTTGAGAAACTTGTATGCTAAGACGTCCTTAAAATGTTAAGATATAACATCACATTTAAATGAGTATACACGAGGGTTCATTGCCTGGTGCTGTCAGTTCCCCCTCGTCAACCTTGGCCTTCCACCTAATGATTCCATGAAACCCCACTCTGTCTTCAGCAGTTCACGACTGACATCCAATGTGTAATCAAAGAACCTAGGATTAACCCCAGCTGTGCTGTGGTAACATTACTTAACCGCAATGTTTCCAACCTAAAATTCCCAGCATTAACCCGTAGGATAATCGAAAACAAACGCTTGGTCTCCGATGCGCAACGAAGTGTTTTTTTTTTCATTTCATATGCGGAAACCATATCTTTGAACAAGCTTTAACCCTTTCCTGATCTAATCCTAATTGACTTGCAAAAATGTTCAACCATAAGTTAACCTGAGGGTTAACCCCAGCCTTAACCATAGGGTTAACCTTAAACTAATAGTAGCTCTCCGTGGTCTAGAGGTTTTAGCACTTCCTAGGCAATATTTGAGGTACCGGTTTCGAGTCCCAGTTTGAGGTCTTTTTAAAAATTATTTTTTTATCAAGTCAAACACTGTCTTTTCTATCATTTTTATACGCCCACATCTCTCTATGTGGACGTATATTGTCGGCACCCCTGTCCGTCCGTCGGTCCGTCGGTCCGTCCGTCCGTTCTTCCGTCGGTCGGTCCGTCCGTCTGTCAACATTTGCTTGTAAATGCTCTAAAAACTAGATTTTTTGATGGAATCAAATGAAACTCGGTATGTGTATACATATTCATAAAACGAAGATCAAGTTCGAATTTGAGCTATTTTCGACTGTTAGAAGCAGAGTTATTGCCCTTACCCCAAAATCTTGATTATGTTACTACTCTTTTAGTTTTCAACCGATTTTGATGAAACTTAAAATGGATGTTATTGGACCTTCTGAGTAAATTCAAGGTTTTTCAATATTTAGGCCTCTTACGTCAGTTTTGAGGAGTTGTCGCCCTTTAACCTCTATACAGTAAGTGCTTCTATCAACATCAATTGCTCGTAAACGCTCTAAAAACTAGATTTTTTGATGGAATCAAATGAAATTCGGTATGTGTATACATATTCATAAAACGAAGATCAAGTTCGAATTTGAGCTATTGTCGATCGTTAGAAGCAGAGTTATTGCCCTTGCCCCAAAATCTTCTGTTACAATTTCTTGTTGTGTATATATACACTCTCTTCCTTCTTATTTCTTACTTCTCATTTCTAACTTCTCGTTTTATTCATTCATGGAGAGATAGACAGAAAGTCACTATTATGTAAGCTCTTGTCAAAATTCAAGAAATTTTTTTTTAGTATTATTTAAAAAGGTAGATCAATTGATATATAATTTCGAAAAGTTATAACATTATCAATGAAATACATGTATTCGACCATAATTAAGTATTGCAAATTCACCTAGTCTTGTATTTTCAATTTGATGCGAAAGGCATTGTCAAAAGTTAAGATATGTGTCATTTCTTTCCTTTCATCTGTTCTCTACATATAGACTTTCTATTGTTAGCCATTAATACGAGATCACCTGCTTAGTTTTTGAAGGTTTGGAAAGTTTGTTGCTCGAATTAATAAAAAACTATTGACCAAAGAGAAACATGTCCCTTACCTCATCTGAAAGTTTTATTGGGTGTATTTTACCTTGGCAAGTTTTCTTATTCCAATAACAAACCATATTAGTACACAATTGAAACTACTTATCTGTTTATAATTTGTATAGGTGATAAATTGATAAAAATGTCTGTGTCAGAGACAATTGCCTCTCTGATCAATTATTCCATCGTCCATTCAATTGATAAATCTTCTAATATCAGTAGTGAATAAAATAGATCCGTCAATATGGTAATGTAGATGTCAGTAACAGAATATGACACTTTCTCTTGATATTAGCTTCAAATAACAATAACTAATGTATAAGCATGTCTGAGGGAAATTAAAGCGGCTTTCCCACGTGATGACAACATTATGTGTGACCAGCGGTAGAAATTCTTTTGATTAATTTGTTGTCACACCGTGGCATTAAATATCGATATATAGTTAGAGGTATTGTTTATCATCGACTTGATTGATATCCGATGCATGGTTTCTAAGGGACAGATTCGCCATCCGTTTGTCCAGATGTACCTAAGTATCATAAACGGTACCTTATTCAGCTAATCATTAATAATGTTCACCGATGAAATTAAGTCGCAAATCCACGTATGTCCAAAATTATCCACGTTTGAATGTTAAAATTACGACCCGTTATTTCTTGAGACTCTGCAATATATAGTAACGACAAATATGTATAGAAATAGAAAGTGAAATTCCTAGTTTGAGGTATTTTTGAAGGAATTATGTTTCTGCATTACTTCTGAAGACTATTTACATATCTTTAAGACCAAAATCAAGCCATGAAATTTATGAATCTTTAAACACTACGTTTCGTTTCAAGCTCAATGGAAGCAACAGTTTCTTGGAAGCCAGACAGTTTAACTAAGTCTAGTAGCACGATGTAGGCTGGTGTTGTTTTTTCGATGTTGATGGAACTGTTTCGGATTCAAAATATATTTTGTTCAAAATTCAAAATGACGAGATTGAAGATATTTGACTTGAGGTTCCCGAGTTAACTGCCTATGAGTTTGTATTATATGTATAGAGGATTTTAAAACACACGAAAATGCTACGTCATGTAGCGAGACGAGATAGAAAAATTGTCCAATATTGTGCTTTTATAATGAAGAAATTATTATCACTGAAGACCTAATTTCTCGAATTCGATCAAAAAATACAAAAATCATTAACAAACGTTATAATTATATACAGTATTTTTTATTCTAATCACGAAGTGTCTTATTCACCCACCGTTCAAACTTCCTTTTTCCTGACAGAGTCTAATTATTGGAAAATCTACTACTAAACCATTGCGACATCTATAAGAAACATAATATCATGCACAATTAATTCATACTACCAACATACTGGTCAAAGTTTGTAACATTTCGTTTTCGGGCTATTATTAAAAACCAAACTAAGGTGTGTCGCCTCTCCGGAAGGATTAACAAGTTGTCAAATAACTCGCATAATGACATCAATATGTTGGTTTCATTCTGTTATAATAAAATTATTTGTCTGTAAATTCCTGCTTTAAAGATGGGCTTCCTTATTTTTTATTGTCAAATTAAGCAAACTATTTGATTGATTGCTGTTTCTAATGAATTATCGTGTATTCTTAATCATATCATCATGTTCTTATCTTGACTACAGGCTGCTACTTTGATTAACCACCTCCTCCCCACCTCTCACCATGTCTTTTAAAGTTATTTTTTGTTTGTTTTTTATTTGTTTTTTACATTGGGGACTGCCTTTTAAAGTATAATTTCATTCTACTATTCTACCCCAAAGTAGTAGGGGTTTAAATTTTAGTTTATTAATGAGATGTTCTTTCTGCTTTGATCATCCTTCACAATTTATCAAGGGTTTCACCCTTCCATTATTCATTATTCAATTATGTAATTTCATATTCACATTGTGTAGTCCCATAGTGCCAAATAAAGTTTATATATTAGTGTTTTGTTATAAATAAGAATTTTAACCAATTATAAATGTCCATGTATGTACAGTCTGGATAAACAAAAAAAGAGTTTTTGACCTTTGTTGATCGGTCACTTATTGGAATTCTGCTGGTGATTCTCTTCTAATTTAGCTAATTATGAATTGATTATGGACATGTGAGACAAACTGGTATTTTTCCAAGTCATTAGAACACCTCTACTTTCTATTTATATAGCATTTTCATTTTCACAAATAAATAAATAAGGGAACCCATCTTTAAGCTATCTATTTAAAATATTGTAAAGGATAAGTTTTAAATGTAATGATTGTAGAAATGTTCAAGAGAGTTTAGGATGTCCTTTATCATTTATCGTCATTGTGTAAGAACTTTGCATAAAAAATCAATTCTGTTTTATAATAGAACTCATTTGATGCTGTACCTGATTTAAAACAAGACATTTTCTTTTGTCTTGAAACAAGAATAGATATAGACATAGTTTTATTGTGTATTCCTTGAAAGAAGGATTAACACTACAGATAAAGTGTGCAATACATGTACGTCCTCAATTCATGCCCTTTAGAAGTAATATAGGTAACAAGCAGTGTAAAGTGTAGTCAGAATAAAACATATTTACGTTGGAGGTGGTGCACATCCTTATTATTGAAGAAATAGAAAAAAGTTCAAGGTCCTTGTTAATAACATGAAAGGAGGTACTTTTCAAAGTATTTGATATGCTGGGGTTTATTATTTATGTTAAACACCCATTTACATTGCATTTGTTTTATAAAACTACGCACGACATCTTTGATTTTGTACAGATATAAGGTCCATAGAACTGACGCTATCATGTATCATGTATCGAGACACACAAAGGTTATTAACTCCGCCTAACTTAAAAAGCGACTATATAAATAGACTTCACAATTTCAAATAAGTCGAGGTCAGAAATTCCTATATTAT